AAAAAAAAAAAAAAAAAAAAAATTAAATTTGATTTTCTTTTTAGTGATACAAAATGATACAAAAATGACTAAAAGATTGACCAATGAGAACAATGATAATTAAGACACGTTTATTTCATAAGAAAATTATTTAAAAAAGGATAATGAAAAATTATCTTAATTTGGTATATTTGTTTTATGCATCCGATATAAAACCCATGTGGTATTATTTGATTGGCAAAAAAATTGGATGATATAATAATTACAAAGGATTGATATTCGGGATATACGGGATTACGAATAGGGATATGGAAATATAGGGATATACTACGGGTAAGAATTAAGGAATTATCTAGAAGTAATTTTGGTTTACATATTATACATATTATTACATGTCATATATGTCATAACGAATGCAACATAAAAACTCAAAAAAGAAAAACAAAAAAAAAATGATCAAAAAAAAAAAGTTTTTTTGATTACAAAGAAATAATTTACTTTGAAACGCATATTTTTACCTATTTTAATCATTATAATGAAAAATGAATGAAATATATATAAAAATATTATGCATAAAATAATCATGAGTTTTAAAATGAAAATTTTTTTAATGAATTAACTCAATTAATTAATTAATTGAGTTTATATAAAAGTGTTGGGGAAAACATGTTAGATTTTGATTACATACATTACATAAAGTAAACAACAAGCCCCGAAAAAAAAAAAAAACCAAAAATTATTTTAACATATTAATCACAGCCTTTGTTCACATGTAAACTCAGGATAAGATGATTCGACTTTTTTGAGAGATGAGAGATTTTCAGATGATTGTAATGAACATTCATTATGACATTTAGGAGTCAAGGATTTTAGGATAATCGAATATATCATAATCGTAATCAATAATATTATTTATTACTTCCAATTAAAAATAGTATTTTACTCATGTTTAAATATTAAATAATTTCACGTGTAAATTTGTAAAAATTAAAGTTGTTAATAATAAACCATTCAAATTTCACACGTTTTTCAATGAATTACCAATCCACATTACCATTTCAACACGTTTCCTTTTCCAATTTCAAAATGATCATCCCTATTTCCTTTTTTTATGTAATTAAAAATAATTATAAAAAAAAAAAAAAAAAAAAAAAAAAAATTTTTTTTTGTTTAACAAAAACAAATGAAAAAAAAGAATAATTCGATATTTTTTTAATATTATCAATTATTTAATTATTTGGTGTAATTAAAAATTCCCTAAGAAAAAAAAAAAAAATTTCAAATTTTTATCGTTTTTATCGTTTTTTATAGTTTATATATGGAATATCAAAAAAACGATCATAATTAATAAAATGACGTGATTGTCGTGATTATTAATAATACAAATTTTTACTGGATAAACCTTGAATAAAAAAAAAAAGATCTCGATTAATAAAAATTTGTCATAATGAACTCATTTTTTTTTTACTAATGAGAAAAAAAAATAAGCGTCAAATAAAGTGATACAAAATTTAGTGTGTAGTTTTTTCATGAGAAAAGGCAGATAAAGGCGCAAATAAACTGCGAGGTTTGCGGTCAAATGTTAAGCATACTGCGTTAAAAAAGTGTGAAATATTAGATATTTCACAAGATAATAGATAAGAAAACAACCAAAATACTTAATGCGGATAAAAAAAAACAGGTTTTTACGTTTATTTTTTGAATATCTTTTTTTTTTTTATTTTTAACGATAAAAAAGATTTATCATATTTATCATATTTATCATATTTATTGATTTTATATTTATAATATTTATATATCACAAAATTCACAATCTTTTTTAATCTTCACTTTAAAAGGTATTTTTTGTAACTCTAATTATGATGAATACAGATGTCAAAACTTTTATACGATAAAAAAAAAAGTTAGATTTTCGGAGATATTATTTCATTATTTATATTAATTTTTTTTTTTTTGTGATTTCAACTAAAACTAATTTATTAATAAACAATTCAAGTAAGTGGCAAATCGTGGCTTTAAAAATAGTAGGGTGAATTTTTTTTTCAATGGATCCTTTTTTTTTTTTTAATCGGATTCTAAAATTCCGAAGTTTTCCATTTTTTTCTTCTTGTTTCTCAAAAAATTTTTTCCTTGGGGAAAAATTTTTATTTTTTATTTATTTATTTATTTTTTTTTAATGGGTATATTTTATGAGCGTGAGACTTTTTAATTATAATCTTCAAAGGTCATGAACACGAACGAAAATCAATTAATCGGATGTTCTTTTCCATTAAAGTAACACATTATAATATAATAAATAAAATATATATATATATATATATATTTAATATAATCCAAAATGAATATAATCCAGTACGTTTAAAAAATGCAAATCATAATCACTCATATGATAAAATGTAACAAAGATCCCCAAAAATTTTCCCCAAAATATTTTATTACTTGATTTAGATTTTTGTTCCAATTATTTTTAATTTTAAAATAAATAAATATAATAAATTCCCCAAATTCCCCAACGGTACGTTTATAATTGTATTGTATAAATAAAAAAAAAAAAAAATTTTTT